GAAGTATGTTCTTCTGTGTCCGTTGCGTTCATCAAAATCTCCCTATATTGTGAAGTATCTTGAGAATGAAGTTTTTCTTACCTATGGAGTACCCTCAACATATAATTTGTGACAATGGTCCTCAATTTGTTGCGAAAGAATTTAGAGATTTAGCTAAGAAATACCAAGTTCAGAAGATCTGGTATAATGCTGTGTATTCTCCTCAATGTAACTTTGTTGAGCAAATGAATAAAACTGTAGGAACAGCTATTAGAACTTATGTTAAACAGCATACAGATTGGGATGTTCAGCTCTCTAATATTCAGTTTGCTTTAAATACTTCTAAACACGAGGTCACAGGATTTTCTCCTTCATTTTTAGTTTTGGTAGACATATTCCCATCTCTGGTAAGTATTATGGTCAAGTTAAATTTTCTGAAGATTTTGAAATTATGCCTGGCGATCGCAACTCTTACGCTTCTGAACTCAAAATCTTTTATAGTGTCTTTAGCGAAGTCCATAAGAAACTTCATGCTGCTTATGAAAGAAACTTGAAGTCTTATAATTTGCGTAGGCGTGATTTATCTTTTCAGGTTGGTGATTTGGTTGGAGACGTAATAAGGTCTTATCAAATGCTGGTATTAACTTTTCAGCCAAGTTATCTCCTCGTTTTATTTTATCTTCAGTGCGAAAGAAAATCTCGAATTTAGTTTATGTTTTAGTAGACGAGAATGGTACTAACGCAGGCCGCTGGCATATAAAAGATTTAAACCATACCAAGGTCACACGATTGACGACAATGATACAGAAAATGTCTCTACTACGTCACACAAATTCAAATAATCTATATGTCCGATTCCTTTTTAGGGTTTAGTCTAACGGATACATAGATTATATTTTAGTTTCTTTTTAGTTCAGATTAAACAGTTATACAACATTTGCTTCTCGTTTTTTTTCGGATTTGTCGCGAATCAGTATAACTATATTGTCATTTAGTTTTTTTGCGTACCTATATTTTTGATATGTTATAGTATTTCTATTTGGAAATGCGAGCATATGACAGTATTTTTTTTTCTTCGAGTATTCTACAGATTACCTAATTTTGAGTAAATATTTTGTGGGATGGTAATTCTGTTAATCACTCATATAGTTTTATGTCATTTGCTCTATTCTTTGTTATTCAGTTCACAAGAATCTGAAATGTAAGAGATTCTTGTATTTTGTGTATTCTGAGAACACAACTTCGTGAAAAAACGAAAAGTTGTTATGATTTTGATTGCAACCTAGAAGTGAGACGTAGCTAACCTCATGACTTCGTAAGTTTTACTGTGTTTTGGATATTATTGTGATCTTCTTTCCATATTTGCAATAGCGTTTCATAGGCTGGAATCCTATGTTACGGATATTTTGGGTCATTAGTGACAATATTTTTTTTCTCTTTCTTTGTGTCTTTCTATTGTGTTTTCTATTGTAATTTTCCTTCTTTTTCTCATACAGGTGAGTTACCTTGAGTGGTTAACCGGTTAATCTTCAGAAACATCTGCGCTTCCATGGGATTCTTTTTTCTTTTCCTATCCCATACCTTTTAGTTTTAAGTTTAGTTTTTGTTTATCATATATTTTGTATATGATTTTGTTTTTTGGATTATGTGGTGATTTTGACTTTCCCGATTGTGTAACCTCCCTGATTTGACATACCGATTGCGACTTACCAATGTGACTCCTTTATGGACGTGTGATACACGAAGCTATCATCCACCAAATTTAATTTCAAAATCTAAAAACATGTACCAATTTAATTTAGTTTTCCTTAGTGGTGTTTGGGCGAAAGTCCTCTTTGAGGGCCTTCCTTTTTTTTGGAGGGGGGCAGTGTAGCATTTTTTATTTCCTTTAATAAAATTGAATTTAAAATTCTATTTTTATTTAAATTTCTTAGTATTGGCGCCATCTATTTGCTAGATGCCAAAGATACCAAACTCCATTTGTTACAGGTCACTTGTTTCGATATTTAATTTTTATTAGCGCATCTATTCGCTAGATGTCAAACTTCATTTCTTACAGTTTACTTGTCTTGTTTATTAGCGCCATCTATTCGCTATATGCCAAACTTCCTTAATTGCATTTCACTTGTCCCAATCTCACGTCGCTGTGGATTGCGATTTTCTGTTCTAATGATTTCGATCATATGATATCACTTTTTTCTCTCATTTTGTCTGTGGTGAATAGGGTTTTTTTGTTTTCGTTTCTGAAACTGAGAAGAAGGTCTTTTTGCTGGGAATTTGGATCTGAAGAAGACGCGTTTCGGCGTCCGACAAATTTTCCAGTGAAAAGCACTCTGAATCCACTTTTCGATTGCATGGGTATCCGATTTGGAGATTTGAAAACCTTGTAAAGTATGCAATTCAGAGTATAGATCGTATTTGTTTGGTTTCTTCTTGGAATGACCACCGTAAGTTTGTCCGCCATTTTATATAGCCCTATCTAACTAAATTCTATTTCAGTTCTTTCCGTTTGTTATTTCGTTTACTTGAGTATTTAATTACTGGTTTGGATCGGCATATGGTTTGAATATATTTATGTAAAGCTGATTTTCAGACCGTAAGTTGTTTCTTTTATTGAGTATCTGTCCTGAGAACTATTTTTTTATTTATAGAGTAAAAGTACCACATGATATTAAGTAAAACTATCACATGGTACTCAGTAAAACTACCCCATGGTATTCAGTAAAACTACCCCATGGTATTCAGTAAATACCCCATGATATTCAGTAACTACCACATGGTACTCAGTAACTACCACCTAGTACTCAGTAATTACCACATGGTATGCAGTAATTATTGTATGTTCCACCCACTTTCATTTTGTATGGACCTATACAGACCTCAAGAAAATGTTCCTGACATTACAATCGTTCTTTTGCCTGATATCGAAGACTTCTCCTGCCATAGTCATCTGTATCCACTTCTGTTAGTCTGGAGAATACCTACCTACCTGTTTACATCATAAGAAACTATATTCAGATAAGTCTTAAGTTTGATACACAAGGTACGCTTTTATTTTATAATTTTTGAGACAACAGATTTAATAACCTGGTAAATTATCACTATTTATCCCACATATTGTAGTCAAAATTATTTTTATTTAACGTTATGAGTTATAATTTGATTCGTACAGTACACTCTTGCTTAGCTATGATATTTTATATGAAAATTATTAACACGTATTCATTTTAAAGGTTTTTGTACACGACATGTTTCGAAACATCATCGTATTGAGACATACATAAATTTCACCTGTTTTTATTAAGTAGCTTACTTATTTCAAAGAATGCAGTTACTAAATTCAAATCTATTTAAAATAACTTGCGATTTTGTGCACTGTGACTAATTGTTGATACTTGTGTTCGTTTTCAATAAATGTTTAATGTAGAATAGTTATTTCTGACTTTTATTCCTGATAAACATAATAGACCCTTAATGCTGTTGATTACTTTATTTTAGCTATGTTGTGATATCGTATTTTTCTTTTTTGGTTTCTTACTTTACCACTCTCATAAACAAAGTAAGTGGCGCCCTTTTCACTGTCTTTGACCATACCTCTTTGAATTCTTAACATCAATATTAAAATCTCTGCAGCCTATATATGTTATCATTTTTTTTTATTTTTTAACAACATTAGAAAGTCACTGTGAGTCAGAAGCCTTACCTACGAACCCCGCTTTCCTCTAACCCTGAGCAACGGATTCTTTTTTCATTCTATTCGGGTAACGACAGAAAAGTCGTCACAATATGATATGTCATTCTATTCAGAATTGTAAAATCGCTTATTTCTGGGGCTTACTCAACCGAGTCTCACAATGCAAATTCACCTCAAATATCCATTTAGTTGGTCATTGGCAAGCAGTCTCTCATTGTACATGAAAATAACAAAACAACATTTACTGATCTGGATAAAATTAATAATTAAATAGTAAAACTCACCCGGGGGTACTCCGCCCCCTAGCCACTGATATTCTATTCAATATATTCCTTTCCATGTCTTCCATCTAATTCAAATATTATTCGGATCTTTTGGTTAATCTTCAACAACTAGCTGGTGTCACCTGAAATAAGTATAGGGGCTTTCCCCGGACGCAAATCTGCAGCTAAACAGATTCGCATAGTCAAAAAGATTCGCATCCTAATAGTCAGTAAGACTCGTAACCTAAGTCAAGACTCGTATCCTTATGAGTCAAAAAGACTCGCATCCTAATAGTCAATAAGACTCGTAACCTTAGTCAAGACTCGTATCCTTAATAGTCAAAAAGACTCGCATCCTAATAGTCAATAACACTCGCACCCTAATAGTCAATAAGACTCGCATCCTAATAGTCAATAAGACTCGCAACCTCCAAATGTCGGCTCTGTGACAAAACACAACACAACACTACTTTACAGCCGGCCGTCCCGTCTACTACTGACTCGCGGGCAAGCTAAGCCTGTCCTCTTACATCACAATTTTACCTAATCGCAAATATTTACATCGCTTGCCAATGAATCATACTATTTTCTCTAATCGACTTTCAAATTAATAGAGTGTTCTAGCATTACTAGATAAATAAATAGAGAGTTTCCGAATTATAAAACCATTATTATAACCATCTTATTTTCCAAGTTTTACAGAATGTCATTTTCTATCGAATAAATTTAAAAAATACCGAGGGTGCCATTTAAAAATCAAAAGTTGTCATTTCTGGTGAAACAGGAAGTGACCAAAAACAATTGAATACGTCAATCAATCCTAATTTATGTCATACCAAATCCCGTTTTTTTATCTGAAGAAATAAAAAAGTTATAGAGGTGAGCCACTTTTGAGATGCCCCAGGTATAACAGAAAATAGTTATTAAGTTATGTGCAACTGTATGACTGATTATAACTAAGAATATATTTTTTTCATTTGCAATACTTTTTTTTATATAACACAAAAACTAAATGGCATTATATTTAGTTACTTTCTACTCAAAATCTTTATTGTATTTCATGGGTGTTACCTATCCATTTATATATATTATATTAGCCAATATTAAATAAGTAAGAAATAAAAATAATAATATAATCGAATTCACATGACTGTACGGATTTTCTGTTTTATTATTTTTTTATAGGTTTGGTGATAGTGTTAGTAAAAATATGATCGTGTAACAATCCACGGCTGCATAATGTGTATATAAAATATTGTAGTTCAAAATTTACTAGTCGTGAGTTAAAATTAAATATTAATGCAAATACGGTGGTACAGAAATTTGTTGAAATAATTTTAGCCAACACTGTGAGAATGGTTACGTTAAAATTGACAATATTATGGTATGTAATGTGGTTATATATTTTTTAAACTAAATAACTGACTCTTAATATGGTGAAAGATTTATTCGGTCTGTATATTTTCATGGATTTTTTAGTTGAAAAATGCTGACGCTGATGCTATCTGTGTTACGCAATAATTACTGTAAAAAAATAGTTAAATAATAAAACACCTTTATGTACAGGGTGTTCCAAATTCGAGCCATCATTGCCATCTCGGAAACTAGAAGAGACCTTCAATTTTAATTTTTATCACTTTTTCAATAGACATAGCAAAATAAATTGCACAGGGTGGTCGAAATTGGTCCGTTTTAACAGAGAAAACCTATGTCCTGACTAGATAGTTCATGGATTCGATTTCTGAGACACGTTTAATGGCGTAAACCGCCTGTTGACATTTTCACTGCCAATTGAGATACGGGGTCTTTTTGAATTCTTTACCATTTGGAAAATTGCATATAACTTTTTTATTTCGGGGAATAATAAAATTCTGTAAAAATATTCTTAAATCACTTTTCTAAGCACAATCCAGTGGCGTAGTCAGTTTTTTCTATGCTTGCTCTTTTTGTCAGAAATAATAAAAAATATAATTTTTAAAATATAATTTTTAATATAATGGAAATCATAGTTGGCTATGAACTTAAAAAAATGCTGGCGTTTAACCCTTTCGAACGACATTCTATATTCTATAATAGTATTACCAATTTCAACTAAAACGCCAGGGTTACAACTGAAGTATTAAATTGAGAATTTAGAGAGAATTGGATTGGAACAAGGGGCCCTATATCTTAGCCTACTAGGTCCTGTGATTTAACTAATTTCGACTTTTTTATGACGGAAATTAAAAGACCACAGAAGAATTGCAGAAGGCTACTAGACAAGCTTTTGGAGTTATTACACCAGTTCGCCTAATAAATAGTTGTAACTCTGTGCGCAAAAGATGTTTATTGTGTGTTCAACAAGGAGGTGCTCAGTTTAAATATCTTTGATGATTTTTTTTTGAAAACTATGTTCGTCACTCAAAAAATATTTTTTTTAGTTTTGTTCTTTGTTTATTGTATCGATTTCAATTGTAATTACTAATACTAATATAGAATGTTAATTTACCTTTTAAAAAGTCTTTAATTATGCATATAAATAATAATATAGAATATTTAATTGTGATAAAAAATAATTAGGCAAATAGATCAACACAAAATCAAGGCCCACTTTGATATAAAGATAAAAAAACCCTAATATTTCTCTCATTTTTAGAACTAGATACCCATAACTTTATATCGTAGGAAAGGGTTAAACGCCAGCATTTTTTCATAGTTCATAGCCAACTATGATTTATTTCCATTCAAAAAATTATATTTTTTATTATTTCTGACAAAAAGAGCAAGCATAGAAAAAACTGCCTACGTCGCTAGATTGGGCTTAAAAATTCCTTAAGAACGTTTTTAAGAATTTTATTATTCCGCGAAATAAAAAAGTTATGGGCAATTCTCAAAATGGTAAAAAATTCAAAAAGACCCCATATCTCAGTTGGCAGTGAAAATATCAACAGGCGGTTTACGCCATAAACGTCACCCTGTACAGGGTGGGTCAAATTCGACGCTTTTAAATGGAAACACCCTTTTCTATAGGAGATAGACAAAAACTAATATCGGTGTCTGGAGTTCAATTTTTGTAAAAAACATGATGGTGAAAACCGCATATCGATATCTGTTACCGTTTCGGAGTTACGGGGTGTTTTTCAAAAATATGCATTTTTAACAAATCGCTGTAACTTTTTTGCTATGGAAAATTTTGTATTTTTATGAAAACATTTCCAAAGCACCTTTTTACGTAGAACTTAATGGTTTAAGTATATTTTTTTTAAAATTAATAATTTAAGAATTATCAACAGAAAATCTTATTTTTTGTATGGGACACCCTGTATATTTTTAAATTATTGAAAATAATTTAAAATTACATTTCCAAAAATATAACACACTTGATATTTTGCTCGATTCCTCTTCGAGATATAGAGTATATAAAAATTCGCCCGCTTTAAATAAGTAGGCTTTGGACGGCACCGGCTGCAATGCAAAAAAAATCTTGCTCTGAGCATCAATTAAAACGAAAATAAATTTGCTATGAGAAATCCAGAATTTTATAACAATTTTAAATATATTTAACCAACATCAACACATTTAAACTATATCTAATAACAATAAAAATAAATAGCAAACCAAGACATGAGATTTTGCGTGTGTTCGATATATCGACCGTCTTCTGTTATAGACAAACGGGGCAGTTTTTGAATATTTCTCGCGGAATTCATTAACTCAGTGGGGGTGAAAGATACCCTCTCATAACTGCAAAGTATTTCTAATTCTTGTCTAGATTATACGGAAGAATAAGGAACCTTTATTCTTCCGCAAATATATCCATAGGATTAGATCCATGGGCACTAAGTCAGGCGGCCTCGACGGCCAACGGCTGGGATCTTGGTTAGCTATTCAAATATTCTTGAAATTGGCTGCAAAAATTTGCTGATAACTTCAGCGTTCAGAGGCGGTGCGTCGTCTTGCTGGAAAAATATGTTTTCGAGTTCCATTAAGGGAATATCATCAATAAGGGGTCCAATGCCTACTAGTTAAAAGTGGCGAACATTTAAAAATTCTGTATTTCGAAGGGGATTATAACAAAATATCAAGTGTGCTATATTTTTGGAAAGGTAATTTTAAATTCTTTTCAGTTAATTAAAAATATAGAGGGTGTCCCAAATAAAAAATCAATTTTTCTGTTGATAACTCTTAAATTAATATTTTTTTAAAAAATATACTTAAACCATTAAATTCTACGTAAAAAGGTGCTTTGGAAATGTTTTCATGAAAATACAAAATTTTCCATAGCAAAAAAGTTACAGCGATTTGTTAAAAATGCACATTTTTGAAAAACACCCCGTAACTCCGAAATGGTAACAGATATTAATGTGCGGTTTTCACCATCATGTTTTTGATGAAAATTGAGCTCTAGACACCGATATTAGTTTTTGTCTATCTCCTATAGAAAAGGATGTTTCCATTTAAAAGCGTCGAATTTGGCCCACCCTGTACATTGTCACTTTCTTTGTTCTTGCTACTTTCTTTGTTCTACAATGGATCATAATATGATAATTTTCAAATGTTAACTTTCTTATAATTCTTATTAGATTTGTTGTCTATCTATCGGTCAGTTAAGACCCTTTATCTCGAAAACGCATAGAGGGATCGAGTTGAAATTAAAACCATATACTCATGTCTCCAGTCACTTGCAGTTGAAAAATTGAAACTTTTAATTAACGTAAAAAAATATGGCCGTTTACGCCGCAAAAAAACCGTATATTTCGACACCCCTCAAGGGTATCAAATTTTTAGGGTATTTGCCTTTGACCTAGAACTATGAAATTTGGCAAGTAATACTGTTTTATACTACAAAGTATAACGAAGAATCTGAAAACTATACTTTTGTAATTAAGTCATAAAAAATATACAGTATGTCCCCGGATTGTCTTTAGAATAGGAAACACTTTTTTATTATTGAAATTTTGAGAAGAATGCATTCTTCATAAAAATGTTTGCTTGTTTCTATAATGGTTAATCCAGTTTAAAATTTCCCAACTTTCCACATCGTTTTAGAGAATCAAAACGCGTTTCTATGGTAATATAATTTTGTTTTCATTTTAACATTGAAAATATTTCTGTTATCCTATATAAGGGAGCCCAAATCGAATTAAAATGCTACATTTGCCACACCATGACGTCATCACGCGTATACGTAGGAAATCTCGGCACGGCGGCGGCAGTCGGACATCGCTAATTGTTTATTGATATATCTTTATTAGTTTAAAAGCAAAGAATATGGGGTTTGCTTTGTTACCTTGTCAAGACATAAGCGAAACTTATAAATTGTTTCTTTTTTTTATTTAGGCCTTCGTTTTTCGTTAAATGAGAGTTATATTTAAAAAAGTCCATTTTTAAACCAAATTTTCGCGTGATTGAAATGAATTATTCATGTTTAAAGTTTTTTTCGGTCATAAGCGCTAATGGAAATGTTTTTTTGTGTAAATAATTATAAAAATTACTCCCTACGAAGACTTTATTTCGTACTGGATCAAAAAATAAGTATTTGTTTTCTATATACGGTGGTATTAATATATCGATCTTTGATGATAGTGCTTTTTTTCCCGGTCTAATTTTGTACTTCTTTTGGAATAAGGGTCCCCATATCACGTACTTGTACTCCCTCCCTGAAAAATTCAGCTTGTGACACCGAAGTGGGATACATATATAAAAGCTCAAAGGGTTTTTTTGTTACATCCATCCCGCCGAAACCGCCTCACCAATCTTGATGATTCTTTTTTTTAAATGAAAGGTATCTCTAGATTTGTTATGAAGTATTATTATATCGTTTAATCGGTATTTCTTTATGTAAAACGAATAAATATTAAGACATACCTGAAAAACACCTACACAAAATACCTCCAGAAATCAATTATTTATCATTGTCAGTGGTGTGTCAGTTAGATTATAGAGATTATATATCAAGTTATTAGATATTTTAGGGATCAGTTCATACCACCAGCTTTAGATACATCAATATTAGCACTAAGGTTCGTTTAAAGGACATTAGTGATTAGTGAATTAGTTATGCAAAGCGATTTTAGAAAATTCATCCTCTTAGAGTGTAAAATTATGTCGAACGATTTGTTGTATGAAAATCATTTACTATCTGGTCTAGAAGAATGAAATTCTACAGAAAGAAGAATAAGAAGAGATTTTTGAAATTCATCAACCAATGGGTAAAGTTAGTAAAAAATTATATAAACCTTCGTGACCTCTGGATTATACACATAAAAATTTGCACAAAGAATCATTTAAAAGACATGAGTTAATTATTTGGACATAGCGTATCTATGAAATTCATACCCATAGGGAGCAGAATAGGGAATGTAAGTTTGTTGTACGAAAATGTATTATTATTACTGTCCTCCATTCATTCAGTTGTGCAGCTCTGAACTGTTCAAGAACGCGACACTCTCACTCCATTCAATTGAGTCATAAAGTTCAGAACTGTTCCGTGCCATATGGACACCCATATCCTAGGCTACCGCGCACAGCTCCTTTCAGAACCGTTCTGAGTAGCCCAGGGCGTAAAGTTCTGGAACTTGAAATTCGCGAATGGAGGACAGCATATAACATCTAGAAGTATAAAATTTTATACAAGGGTTTATTTAGTGACATCAATAATATGAACGAAATATTTCTTCTTCAAACCATCCTTCTAGGAATAAAAAATAACGTATAAAGAGGGTATTAGTGCTCTTGAAAAATAAAAATAAATCAGTGGAGTATTCAAGAAAAGCGACAATTGGAAACTTCAAATATTCAATTGAAAACTTTATATGTCAAAGCTGTTTATTTTATAATACAGTTTATATGGAACCATAGGTAGGGTTCTATCTATAGAGGGTAAATAATCATTTCAGTATTTATTATTTTGAGAGATTTTCTTTTTTCAGATTTTGCAAAATTTCGACTTTGGTACGATTTCTAAAACACCCTATACCCATAATTAAGAAATAAAAAAACCACATCAACCCTCTGTCCAACCATACATAATTAGTTTCAATCACAAATCATTTTGGGGCCAAAATTGAACTTCTTTGAAATACTTTGATTTCGATAACAACTTCTAGGATTATTAAGATTATTTAACTTTTTAGATTTCTTTTTAGTTTTTAGTTAAAAACCATAATTTCTTGATAACATGGCAACACAGGTAGTAGGTAGATTAAATTTACCAGACAGAAAAACCCGAAAAGCTCCAGTGGTTCTCAAAATTTAAGCAAAAAATATTTCTTTTTTTGGAATTTTTTAAAGTAAAATAACTAATTTTGGAGTTATTTGAAAAACGGTAAAAAGAAAATGTTTCTTTTATCGAGATCTACCAGCCCTGAAAATATTTACTCTTATTCAAGACTCGCCCTGTATAATACCCAGGAAATCGACAATTGCTAACTTTCATATGAAATACGAGTAGCTCTAAAACTCTTAAAAACATAGTTTAAATATTGCAATTGTAACGCTCACTAGCTCTATCCATAAAGAAGTAAACAATCATTGAAATCAATGCATGAACAATTCGAGGTGTAACGCGAACGTAGTCGCAGGAAAAAGCTAGTTATTGATAATGTTTCATTTAATGTTAATGTTAAGCTCATGATTTGTATGTTATTTTGTTTTGTTGCTTGTTTGTTTTACGGATAGGTGCGATCGCATAATTATTATTGATAATGTTTTATTTAATGTTAACATTACTACTTTTTCAGTGAATGTTTAAATCTGTTGTTTTTTGTTAAGTTCGTTATTTAAACATATGTATGTAATACACTCATATTAACACTAATCATATTTATATCACATATATATACCACGTTATTGTTAAACTTAACAATAACGTGGGGTAAAATATTGAATAAGGAAAATCAAACGCAACAAAATAATAAAAAATAATAATGCAATAATTAATATATATATATATATATATATATATATATATATATATATATATATATATATATATATATATATATATATATATATATATATATATATATATATATATATATATATATATATATATATATATATATATATATATATATATATATATATTATATTTATATATATATATATATATATATATATATATATATATATATATATATATATATATATATATATATATATATATATATTTTTATATATATTATATATATATATATATATATATATATATATATTATATATATATATATATATATATATATATATTAATTATTGCATATTATTTTTTATTATTTTGTTGCGTTTGATTTTCCTTATTCAATATTTTACCCCACGTTATTGTTAAGTTTAAAGGCTTATCAATATTGTAACGATGAATAGATTAAATATTAAAAAAACAGAGCCGGACTTGAAGTTAGTTAGTAGAACACAATTTATTTAAAAATTTTGTTCAAATGTCCAAAACAAAAAAAAATATATTAAGTGTAGCATATCATCATACTCAGGAGACAGAGTTCTTTCAAAACCTGAAATAAAAAATGCAGGTCCGTATTTAAAAAAAAATTAAGTCGGCATCTGTATCTCCCAAAATATCAGCTAATTTGAATTTCTAAAAATACTGTCAGGTAGCTCTGATAAAGTGGCTATGAGAATGTGTAATTAGTTCTTTGATTTTCTAAAAACTAACGTCATGTCAGGGAAAAATAAAATTGATTTTCAAAAAATCCGTTTTTCTCAAAAAACTCAGCAATCCTTGAAATTTTTGAAATTTTTTTGATAGCATGTTAGTAAACATTCCAAGGCGCAACTTTGCCCCAATTTAACCATCTTCGTATCTATTACGGTTTCCAAGATACCAATGCTCGTACCTCGAATTTGTAGCACCCTGTATAGAAATAAAGTTCATTCTTAAGAAAAAACTTGCTTAAGGCCAACTGGCATTAAGCGCCTTTAAAAACAAGAAGAGTACGGACCAAGTAATGATGTCTAGAGCTTTCTTCGACACCGTTTTTTTAAATCGTATGGTATATATGCAGATTTATAAATTATTTATCGCCTCTACCGGGTGCGTCTCAAAAGTGGCCCACCCCTATAACTTTTTTTTTACTTTTTCAGATAAAAAAACGAGATTTGATATGTTGGTACATGACACAAATTAGGATTGATTGACGTATTCAATTGTTTTTGGTCACTTCCTGTTTCACCGGAAATGACTACAACTTTTGATTTTTAAATGGCACCCTCGGTATTTTATTACTTTATTCGATAGAAAATGACATTCTGAATAGAATGACATATCATATGTCAACTTTTGACATTCTCGCTGAATAGAAAATTGTATTTTAAAATTCAATCTAGAGTCCCATGGCTATGTTAAAAACACTAATTCTTAATCAAGGAGCCTTGGAAAAATAGATTGGTCGTCTAATGTTTTTAGTGTCTTGTCCTAGCTAGTTAGAAAATGCCCAAATCGTATTTTTTTTATCATATCTCAATTTTTTAAAATGGAATGAGGGTGGTTCATTAGCATATTTGGAAAAAGTATTTTTTTACGAATAATATGATACCATGCAGACACTTGGTATTTCGAGTCAAATTTTCGTTACGAACCGCAAGTTATAATTTCAAATAAACCATATGTAAAAATGTCAAAAGTTGACATATAGTATGTGTTTCTATTCAGAATGTCATTTTCTATCGAATAAAGTAAAAAAATACCGATGGTGTCATTTAAAAATCAAAATTTGTAGTCATTTCCAGCGAAACATGAAGTGGCCGTAAACAACTGAATACGTCAATCAATCCTAATTTCTATCATGTACTAACATACCAGATCTTGATTTTATCTGAATAAATAAAAAAGTTATAGTAGTCAGCCACTTTTGAGACGCACCCGGTATAGCCTCCGTAACCTCTGTTCTTAATCTAACAAAACATTTAATAATTAAAATGTATTAATATTTTAGCTTCACCCTGATTTGCTTTTATGGAACATATGCAAAGCAAGCCCACAGAAAAGCTTCCGAAGATGATTTTCTACAGAAAAAGAACATCTACGCTTTCCTTGAAAAACGGCCAGTATTCTTAAAGCTCTTAAAGTTGTTTATATACACAAACTCAACCGAAGAGGCTTATAAAGTAATACAAAAAATAGAAGGTATGTTTTCAATTGTATCATTAGAATTACGCCTTTTGAAATATATTAGATATAGACAAAGATTATAAGATATTTCGATATACATTGTGATTCACCGAAAACTAATTCGGTGATAAAGAAAAGTATCGTATTTCCCGTATGACCGACAAGACGCCGTTTAATTGGCTTTAAAATGGCAAACAATAACATTCTCCACATAATACAAATTGACAGCGATCTTTATTTCCAAACCATCTCTCACGCCGCGCCGTCGTTTTGTTTTTTGATAGTATGGCGTTTTAGGAGAAGTCCACAAATTAAGTCGTAATGGGACCAGAGCCTGCAACGAGTCTTAAAAAGACTTAAGTCTTAAGTAATTTAAAATGATTTAAGTCTTAAGTCAAATTCAACAGAAAGTTCAAATGATTTAAGTCTTGAGTCTTTGACTTAAATCATTTTATTTCAATTCAAGTCATTTTTGTAAAGACTTAAAGCAATAAGATTTTATTTAAGTTTTTATAACTTAAGTCTATTTTTTCTTAAATCATGATTATCTGCAAGTTAAGTCAGTAAAATCAAACTAAGTCAGCAAAATCAATATAATTACAAGTCCAGACAACCAGAATTCAATTTAAGTATCTTTTTTAATATTACTTTTCTTGTTTGGTTTACCAGTTTGGCTACCTGTATAAAACTACTGAGTAAAAAAATATACATTTACGATGGTTTTTACCAAAGATATTTAAACTCGGGAGATACAACGAACCATTCATAAAACGCTCTAAACCTTTTCTTCTTCATCACACATTGGTTTGCGCAAATCAACGAGTGCGAGAGAGAATGGACAAAGAAGGGAATAGGGTATCGGCGCAACGGCAACAATGTAGTTGTTTACAAATATTAGACGGTTGAGGTCAATTTCCAGTGGCGTGCCGATCGACCGACAGTATTTTAAGGAAATTAAAATAATTGTTTAATAAATTTAAAGAATAATAATAACACTTACATATTTGTCGCATTGTAAAAAGTTGAGGGAGGATATTAATAGGAAAAAAAATAAGTTGAGTAATAAATAAAAACCGGCATAATTTTTTATTATAAGATGGCTTTTCACATAAGAATAACGATTAAAAAATCAATAAGCGTTTTTTACTTTATTTTATTAAATAAAATATCAAACTTTGGGTGTATTAGTAAATGCAGTTTCAATATCTTGTTCCAAACCTTGTTCATCTCCGGTGAATGAGACTCCCTCTATTAGCAATAACAAAATAAAATAGTTATTTTAACCTAGTAACACAATATTTTACCAAAAACTAATATTTGTAGACTTCACATATTTTTGATAAAAACTTTATTATTATATGTATATTTACTATATACCTATATGAATTTTACAACTACTAAAATGTGTGTCTAAAGGGATCGCTACCGCGATTAAAAAAACCGATACAATGATACATAGTACCAGAGTGGTGCGACCCCAAAAACGAAATAGAAATAAATTAAATTATAAAAATAAACAGAATTAAAAAAAAATAAAATTAGATAAAAAAAGTGAAAATATAATTTTATCAGGGATGGGCGGAGATAAGCAGAGAGCCATAACGAAATAGTGTAACCGGAACAGCAACCAATGACGGTCATATCAGAAGAACAAGAACCTCACAAATCAGTCGAAGAAACTATAATTTTTTAAATGATTTATTGTTATGAATTTAGTAAATGATTTTTAATTTGTTTTTTATAATCTGTAAAGGATTGAAATTTAAAGTTATTAGAAATATTATTCCACAAATGTGGCGCTATGAAACAAAAAAAAAAGATTTTTGGAAGTTAGCTGTTCGGTGTTGAGGAATTTTAAAATAATGCACTTGCCCAGTCGAATGATCATGGTGAACGTAGTGAAACAATGAGAACAAATAGGGAGTCTGCTCTGTAGTTAAAATTCGATAAATGAATGTCATTAAATGAAATTATTAAACAAAATTATTTGATATTATAATACAGTCATCCCAAGAAATTGTTGTGGTGAAGAGATTTAATAGATAAGATATTATTAGAAGTTATATGTACAGTTAAGAAGTAAGCTAATTAAACGTTATTATTCAAGTTATTCAAGTAAGTTTAGTTTTATTCCTAAAAATAAGCAAAATAAGTAAAATAAGTTACGGTGAATTTTAAACCGTAACATTATAAATAATAAAAAGTGCATGTGCAAAGAATTTCAATACAATAAAATGTAAAAATACAACAAAATGTAGTAGTCATAAAAGTACATTAATTATATGTATGTCAAAAGATGTCCATTTACATTATAGCAACCAAAATTTAAAACAAAAGCCGTATTATATTGTAACGGCAACAAAAAAATTAAGGCCGCAAAATTCCATTTTTGGTACACCCCAATAAAATTTTCACAAAAGGTAGGTAATGATTTGTCAAACCCAAGTGGGTACCTAGATTATACTTATTCAACACCTTTTACCTTTTTTCTACAAATAATTTAATTAATAAAAATATAATTTAAAAAACAGAATAAATTAATAAATATACAATTTAAAAAATAAACCTAAAAATAAATATAATTTAGAAATCTGCTATTTTTTATGTTTAGGTCCGCCTCTGATGATACAGAGAAGAGGATATAATAATATACCTAACCCTACTTATTTTTATTTACCGGTGAAAAGTGAAATTTGGATTTAAATGATACACTCTCTTGTACACAATACATGAATGCACCATATTTTCAAATTAATGTCCACAGAAGTCCACAAAATAACGCAAAAATACTATAATACTGCAAATAAAGAATACGGAGCTTGATCGGCGGCATAGCAACATCGCAACAGGAGAATCTAGGAATTTGCATTCATCCTCGAAATCCGTTGTACTACCCCGGCATATTTCTAAAACTGACGTTGCCAAACTGCTTTTTATTATTAAAAGAAACACGATCATGATATTTTTATTCCATTATAAAATTTAAAATAGTTAAGCAGTTAAGGATTAAATGAAAAAATTGACGTTAGCAAATTAATGTACTTGATATATTATAGAAATATAACGAAATTATTTATTACTTAATAATTGGTTGTGGTATTTAATGGAATACTAATACCGATATACAGGTAAATCTGGCAAATGTTTTCGGTGTAAGAGAGATGCGAAAATAAGGATAGAATAATGGCCGATGAAGGAAAAAAATTGTATCTCTTGAGTTTAAATATCTTTGGTTTTTACGTAAAAAAGGTATCTTGGTAAAAATCGCTACGATTAATGGTTCTCGAGATTTTTGGAATCGAAATTATCAATACCTGTCATCATTGACATAAATTAAACGTTTTGACTAAATAGTCATTAGTAGTGGAGTGCTTTAAGCTCTTATGGGATACAAACCTCGGAATTCATTTACTGTGAACGATTTTTTATAAAACTTTTTGCATTGTATTGTTAATAAGATATATTACAAAGTTTACCCATTTAAATTCGTTGTTTTCACTTTAGTATTTAAATAAACACACATATACAAATGCATACATACAAGATGGCTCCGTATTCTGGAAAAGCTCTGTATCAGGATTCCTATTTGAGATTTTCACTCCAAACCTTTTACAAAATATGTATTTAATGGTAGTTCACATTTTAAAAATATTTTTATAGATATACAGGGTGAGTCAAATATATATCTATTTTTGTTTATTTTAGTGAATTTGCTATAAAATTCCTGTTTCAAAAATACCTTAATACCATAGAGTATACTAAGTGGTTTTTGAATTATGACAACGTCCATGAGGACGTCAATCTAGACGTCCAGAAACCTTCGTATGAAAACTTCTAAGCGAGACAATCGACTTATTGTAAGTTTATCGCTAAGAAACCGCCGTTTGCCAGCTTTTCACATTGATAATGAATGGCACTTAAGGAACGTACATATTAACTAACGGACTATAAGAAGAAGATTAAATGAAGCAAATCTTATGTCAAGAAGGCCTGCTTCGGGACCAGAACTTACTAGATGTGTTGACTAGGCCCAAAATCAAAGGCATGGTTTTAATGTAAAAATTACGAAAACACGTTAATGTCTTCTTCAAAAGCGAATATTTCCAACAAAAATAAAGCTAATGAGATGAACCAAAAAACAAATCATCGAGAAAGGATGTATCTAGATGATAAAATTATTTTTAAATTTCTTGCTGTTTTCTTTCATCAAAATATCAACATTTTGTTTTCCCTCGTATAATTAACAGATGAGAGGGAGTTTCGTTTTTAATTTAGAAAAATATACTAAAAAGTCAAATAATTTGGCTACACACTGCCAAAAAAATCATCAAAATGGACCCATTAAAACAAAATATATTAACCTTTAAAATACATCAAAGTTTTAAGGTAGTACCCATTTTTCGTGCCGGTGAATGTATTTCAAAAACTATACGTTTTAATCATATACTTTTCTAATGAAACAAACCTTTATTTTTAACTAGAATCCAAAAATCAATTAATATATAGGGTGTTCCATTACAAAAAACAAAACTTTGATATGTAACTTTTGTTCGGGACACCCTGTAGAACTCTATATAATTTAAGAAAATGCTTTAAATTGACTTACATACTTACAAAATTTCACTTCAATACAAACTTTTGTTCTCCTTGCAAAAACCGCGTCGTATATGACGCGCCACCCTGTATAATTCGATTTCAATCAAAATTTCAATGATTAGAATATAAGCAATATAGGTATAGCTTATGCATTAGATTTATTTATTTCAATAAATTTACTTAGAAAAAGAATAAATAAAAATCAAAAAATTAAGAATAAAATAACTAAGAATTTACTAAAATTACTAAAATAAAATATTAAAAGCAACGAAAAAAAATGTGTAAACATTTTAGTATTTTATGTATAAAACACAATACAGAAGGTTTCACATTAATACATTGACAGTAATTGAATTCCGAGGTAAAAGTCTCTGGGCACTCCACTATAGACTGAAATTATAAATTTGAAATGTTTTTTT